CCCCCCCCCCCCCCCCTTCTATATTTATGATATGGACATACAAACTTCTCAATTTCTCAGCTATTTGTAAATTCACTACAGTACATTCGCATATAAGAAGGGTAGAATTCTACACAAGTACTCACATTTCTGTACACTTTGGAGAACTAATGTCGGTGACCACAACCTCACAATCGTCCGATACCGAGGCCAGCAGGCTGGGACTGTAATAAAACAAGTATGACAGATATACAACAGCATGCTACAATTTACTTTCCTGTTCCTAGATGAGTCATGTTCCACAGATTTAGCCACTCAATACAATTCAACAGCTCCATAAAAAGACAGCAACACAGATATTAAGGCACGATTTGTCATGACATATTCCAGGGGTGCAGAGAATGTAAGTGAGCATAACCCCTGGAGTATCGAATATGTACAGGAACTAACATCAAATAAATCCACATACATGTTATGGTACATCTTCTGGTTTCAGGAGAATACCTTACAGCATACAGAGCCTCTTAAAAATAATGCAAAATGGAAGTTATCCTTTTTTCTTTTCTTTTTACTTTCATCTGGATGATGTGTTAAAAGTTATTTGGTCAACATTTCTGTGTGCATCGATCCAAAACTAGTGGTTCTCCTAGCCCCATAGTCAAAATTTGATATTAACTGTCACATTGAATAATATTGGGTCACGTTAGTTGAATTTGCACATATGGACTAGTAAAATTGTGAACAACCTGCCTAACTGACTAGTGATTTTAAAGATGAATTTCTAGCCCTCTTCAACCTAATGATCGCTTCAAATTACAGTATAACCCATTGGTGATGTCCTTACTTGTCTTTGGAGAACTCTAGTCTGTTGACACAGCGACAGTGTGCCGTGTACGTCACTGGTGTTCCTATTGATGTTCGTGTATCCTTGACTACGATTTGACCGGTTTCGTCACCGACAGCAAATGAATGTGGGGAGTTTGGCTGCCAAACAACACTTTTAGGGGAATGTTGAAGGGGTAACTTATCTGAAACAGACAAAACATGGGAGTGTAAAAGCTCTCTTCAAGACAGTGTAGCAGCATATTCAATTTCACAACACTTATACTACTTCTGACTTCCCTACCACCTAATGGTTTTGGCCACAGACTACCTTACTATCTTACAGTTTAATGGTTTTGGC